TGGGTTTCCGAGGCAGTATCACTACGGAAGTAGGATTGCCCAACCTTCCTTCTGAGGAGTGGCTGGTGGGTTTGAACCGCCAGCCTTCTGGTTATTTAACTTTATAAAATGTATTTGAATTCTTTAAGATTTGTCTCTGTAGCAATTAAAAAATAATCATCCAAGGGTCAACCTCAAAAATCAGAAAATTAGTAAGATAGTAAAAAATATCACTTTTTCAAATTGGTAAGATTGACAGTCCCATTTTCCCTTTTAATGAACTAAAAACAGAATGAGGAAAATGAATAGATAATCTGATTGAGTAACTTCTAGATGATTACATTTACAATACAGCACCCACCTTTCAGCATAAGGCCATTTCAATGAAAAATCATGTTGTTGTTGTCTTTGTCAAAATTCAAATTATAAATAGTGGTATGTTTCCACACCTAGCCCTTGAAATAAGGTGGATGGTATAAAATTCAAAACGGAGAGAAACGGCGGATCCTTTTCTCCCTAAAGAAGTTTGCTGTCACATTGGGAAGTGAAGGCTATTTGAGGTCTTTGTGTAAAATACTACTTACCGGCTGTCCACCCCACCAGGCTGGATCCTCTTTCTCTTTTGATGAAAGTGAAAAATTCTTGTTGAGATTTACATCATACATATTATTGTCAATGATGCCATGCGATTCTGGATATAAGCCCTAAAAGTATGTATGTATATATAAAGATATAAGACAAGTAATGTATTAGTAAAATACATATTTAAATTAAAACATCATAAGATTGGGAATTCACATCTAGGAAAGTTGTTATATACCTTTCAATGTAAAACCCCTGAATTAGAATTGAAATATCAGTATATGTAATATATATATGTGTGTGTGTGTGTATGTAAAACTAAACTCACTGCCATCAAGTCAGATCTGACTCATAACGACTGCGACTCTTCCTTAGGTTTCTGAGGCGATATCACTAAGGAAGCAGATTGCCCAACCTTCCTTCCGAGGAGTGGCTGGTGGGTTTGAACTGCCAGCCCTCTGGTTAGCAGTCAAGTGCCTTAGGCACTATGCCACCA